GCCTTCAAACACGCAGCCTCCGGACCGGGGTTCTTTCATCTCTGCTTTCTTTCGTTCACCTTGTTTTTTCAGTCACGTGCTGCTTCACATTTGAGATTTTTCTTCATGTGTGTGAGATATTGATTCATGTTGATAAAACTGAAGCCAGCCAAAGCAAAGCTTGTTAGTAGAGTTTTAAAAGAATCTTCCTTAGGCTATTTGAATGCAGACATTCAGCAGTTAAGTTTCATTACCAATGTGATTTGCATTGCTTGTATTTTGGGCTCATAGATGATCATATTATACTGATTTCACAGATTTTGTACACACATCAAGCAGATGAAAAATAGTCATTTTGGTGCTTCTCTGTCACCATCAGGGAATCGTTCCCAGTTTTTCGTGCAATGTAGCTATCCTGTCATGCCTCTTTTCCATTCATCCATCGGAATCCCACCGGTTGGAATCATGTACATCTCATATGCCAGGCAAAATATGGACAGAGCGGCGCAGAGCAAGCAGTTAGGGATCCACAACGTTTATTCAACCTACATATGCCAGCCCTACCCAACAATCATTCAGTTTTTGGCTTCTCTAATTTTTCTATTGGAAATGGATCATTGTGATGAGAGATTGTCCAACCAATGTGCTTGCCATTTTTCAGCTGGTACGGAGTGTTATCTTGCGCATTCAGCCTTCAGGAAGGAACCACATTTGATCTTGTGCAGTTCAAGACTGGCCTGAAGCGTCGCTGTAATGGATTGTCCAACCATTATGTTTGCCGTTTTTTAGCTCGTACGGAGGGTATTAACCATTCCTTTGTTGTCTTGTGCATTCAGCCTTCAGGAAGGAAACACATTTGGTCTTGTGCAGTTCAAGACAGGCCTGAAGCGTCGCTGTAATGGTTCAGGAAAGGAAGGAACTCGGCGGCTGGCTGGCCCAGCTATGATGCGTGCAACTCAGCAGATAGCTTCCTGGACACCCATAGTCTTAGTTCTAAGGCTGTTACTACTGTAATCAGGCACTACGTACGACCATATCGGAATGCTTTTTTATCTTCTTTCTTTGCTCCAAGATTTGGATAGTACATTATCAAGTGGTCTTACTTACAGTTCAGTATAATACTCCCTCCGTCCGAAATGGATAGAAATGGATGTATGTCGAACTAAAAAATACGTCTAGATAAATTCATTTATGCGACAATTAATTCCGGATGGAGGGTGTATGAGATACAAGACGAGGTCGTTCAGAAATGTGCTTTGACATGACAGTAACAGTATAGAGGTAAGGAGAAGTTGTTTGTTGGAATCCACGGTGCACCGTACATACAATTCAGTCATGTTAACATGCCATGTTATTTGCTATTAGCCAAAGCTTAGGAAATTTTGTTGAAGCTGTTCCTCTTTCTCTATCCTTTATTAGTCTCAAGGCACCCGGTTCTTTTGTCTAGCTCTATATCCACTCAACTTTGACGTATTTTTTTCTCAGCTCTGTATTTCATTGGTGCCGTGACATTTACACGCATATAACAAGTGTTAAAATTCTAACATGCAGGGTTCTTGAGCGGTTGACTGGAGGTCCTGTCCTACATGTTCTCTTATGCACCATTGTACAATTGGCTAGCTAAATGAGTGTACGGTAAATTTCAATTTTTTCTGTAGTTTCATCTGCTAGGATTTTAAGGTAGTATAAGCTTTGGTATTTTGTACGGAAAAGGGTGTTTTTTCCTGATGTACACACTTTAGTCTTCGTGTTATTAATGCAGGTGAACAATTCACACTTTTTATTGATCCACCATATTGTTTCTTTCTTTGTTTACATGCCCATATGTTATGTAAACCGAGGAAGCAAGTTTGGGATGATGTAACAAAAATTGATTTATGCATAGGAATATGAAGCAGACACGGGGACTGACACCTGGTGAAGGCTAGCTTCTAAATATTCATTTTTGTTGTTTTTATGCATTTTACGTACATGACTGTATGTTTTGATATACATTTAAATTTATTCAGATGAACTCTTGCAGAATCTTTTTGTATGATCTTCACGTGTGTTGCGTCTTCAACCATCGGATGTATAGCTGGAACTACTGGGAGATAATGAACAACCACTTGGAATTACCAACTTAGCTATGTTCATTTTAATCTTTGGTATTTCTCATTTATGGAAAGTATGCACTCCTTGGTAAAAAGAATGAGTTCATGGTGTGTCATTTAACCTCGCTCACACACTTACATTACATTATATTTGTTTTCACAATGCAATCTGAGATACATTATGCTCGACATTTTGTTTTGTTCACTTGTGTGTTAATTCCATCCTGCACACACCTCTGAATTGAATGATTGATTGATTTCACTGCTTGGTTGAAATGAGCTCAGGTACAAGCCCTTTAGGCCACTGCTTTGAACTACATGGTCAATCTGGAGCTATATCTCTGGCGGCCACGTTGATTTTTAGGATTGACAGATTCTGATTCTTCAGAATAACCTTAAGTTATTGTGGCTCATGCGAACTTAATCTAGCAGTTTGCTTTCCTGATATTGAATACTCGAGAGGTTTGTCTTTCGGGTAACAGATGAAATGGATTTTCTATGTGTCGAGGTTGGAATTGCGCATGAAAAAAAGGTATATGTATCACCTGCTATTAAATGAGCATTCAAGGATCAAATATAGTGACATTAATTCACAACTTAATGTTATTCCAGTTTGGAAAATAATGGGATGATTGAAGGTGGCACATATATAACAATTATGGCACTTGCAATATATAAGCAGCAAAATTCTTCCTTAGGATTGCAAACTTAGTATACTGAAGGATAAAGAATCAATTACCTAAATGTAGGAGTATACAGCACAATACTGAGAACATGTCTAAATTTAACATTTGCTGTGCATCAATTTACATCCTCTTCAATATCCTCTTGATCAACATCAAATTGGCGGCACCTCACAACTAAAAGACCAACTATCAAAGCACAAGAAGAAACATCCCTGACAACCTGGCTTCTAGTTATCCACACCAGAACATGCTGGGCACCAACAAAGGTCCAGAAGATAGGCTCTAAATATATGTTTAACAACCTTGCAGTACTTAGCAGCCATGAAAAGAAAGACACATCAATCTATAAATCAGCTTTGTTTCTCTTGTTAACGTTCCATTATACACACAAAATTATAGGCTCTAGATAGATGTAAAACTAAAGTTTCAGATTCAATATAAATTCTCGCTAAACAGTTCAGAACATATTTATGAGATGTTTTCAATCATTTAATGGCAAGGGCACTGTAAAATCTACCTACACCTATAATATGCTATTAAAGATAAGACATCTACCTGAGTGCTCATAAAACTGGCAATTTTTGTGCAATTCAATTTTCCTTAGTATATATTTGGAGGCAGTGCTAATAGATAGAAAACTGCCCACTATTCGACATTCTCACTAAGTAAGTATTTGCCTCCCGATCTTTCCATATGTTCAGTAAGTTAAAATAATTGACTTTGAATCAACAAATAGAAAGGTAAGGACACCGTATGTACATCTTATATGGAGATTCTGCTACCGACAGCAAATGCAAACTGGTTCCCAGAAACCATAATTGGTTTTGAGGTCTCTGGAAAAGACAAAGACGGCATAGCCTAAACCACGTGCAGCTGATTAGTAGAATCTTTCTTAGATTGATCTAATGAAGAAGGTCTGCAGTTCCTTGATAAGAACGAAACAGCTATGCAGACAATGCACTCCATGGACGACAGGTGCACGATTTTCATCTAGCCATCTGCTGCACTTTGATAATATGCACGGACACACTGATATGCCCTATCGTGCACAAATCGTCTGCTATGTGTCGTGTGCATAGCAGCGCTCTGATAAGAATGTAAAGACGATTAAAAAACTGCACCTTCACCAAATAAATGGTAGTGATGTTCGTGCATTAACTATGATCATAAAGACGATAAAGAAACTCCACAATCATCAAATAAATGGTAGCGATTTTGTTGGTGTATTAACTATGATCATAACTTTATAAACAAGTCAATCAAACAACTAGGGCAGCCACAACAAACATAAACACAAACTTGCAAGGCATAACTCACCACGTGCAGCTGATTAGTAGAATCTTTCTTAGATTGATCTAATGAACAAGGTTTGCAGTTCCTTGATAAGAATGTAAAGACGATTAAAAAAATGCACCTTCACCAAATAAATGGTAGTGATGTTCATGCATTAACTATGATCATAAAGACAATAAAGAAACTGCACAATCATCAAATAAATGATAGCAATTTTGTTGGTGCATTAACTATGATCATAACATACTATAAACAAGTCAATCAAACAACTAGGCAGTCACAAAAACACAGACTTGCAAGGCATAACTCACCAGGCAAGAAACATAACTGCTACAGATTATCAGTCGCAATAGCATACAGGTCAGGGCAAAGATGAGGTGTGTATCACCATTCCAAGATGGGCCATGCCAAACATAAAGAATATAGTATCACATACCCCTAAACATTGGACAGCTCTGGTGACTTGAAAGTAACAAGGCACAAGACAGCTAAAAGTTCACGATGATTTGACAGATGAATTTTCTGAAGGAACTACTTCCCCATAATGCTCACATCACGCAGATGAGGCTATTTCAGTCTGAAACTCATTTTGAAGGAACCATGCCTAAACTGCTACTCTTCTCTGCCACCATGGGAATTAAGGAATTAACGAGTACATCATGCCTAAACAGTAAACAATATGCAGAATCAAAAGCAGCATCTCATTTGGACAAAAACGAGTCACAGATTACAGATCACTTCATTAAATTAATATAGCACTTGATACGACACCAAAGTCACAGATTACTAATCACTTCATTACTTAATATAGCACTTGATACGACACCAAAGTCACAGATTACTAAGCACTTCACTAACTTAATATAGCACCTGATACAGCACCAAGTCACAGATTACTGGTCTGTTCATTAACTTAATACAACACCTAAATAGCACAGATAACTTATCTCTACGGGATTGGAATATATGTGTGGAAAGTGTCATGGTCAAGATTGGCAGACGCACCCACCGCCTCTATGATGACCTGTTGAGCTGTCAAGAGGCCGTCCCCGAATCCAGCGATGGCCTCAGTGATCCTGGCGGCGAAGACATTGGCGAAGTCGTGGAAGACGCCCGCTTGAAGGCCGGTCGCCAGATCGTCGATGCAAGTGGCGAATGCTCCAAGGCGTCGAAGGCGAAGGTCGTTGACGTCGTGGATCGGATCGAAGACGAGGCTCCCCACCAGATGATCAGAGACGTCAAGGATGAGATCGTTGGCACGAACCAGCAGACGGAGTGAATCTACGTTGGAGACGACTGCACCTCTGTCTTCGAGGTACTCAGCGTGGCGCAGCATCTCAGCGCAGTCGTTGATGGAGTTCACGCCGTGGATAAACACGGTGTGGCCGGCTGCTGCATTGAGGTCGACTCCAACGAACTGGACTACGACACCGAGCATCTGTGCAACGTTGTTGACGTGGTGGATATTGGCCATCGTGGGTGGAGATGAGATGGGATGGGGAGTGGAGATGGGATGGGGAGGGCAGATTTGATTTCGGCTGCGATGCTGGGGGATCCGGATGGCGGACTGGATGGCGGCGGGGGAGGGGTGGGTGGATTTTGTTCCGGGGGCTGCTATATATGCCGGGGAAACCTAGCGATCCGTGGCATCATCGCCATCCACCGTTGGATTGAATTATTACCAGCCGTTGGATTGGAGCAGAAGAGCACGATCCGTGCGTCGCGGCGTTCTTCCAATCAGAGCGCTTGCTCAATTTCTTTCACATTACTCCATCCAACGGGGGTTAGAGCATATATTCCTCTCCATCCGCTGCTCAGACCAAACTCTAGTCACTTCACTCCATTTCCCTCCGCCACCCAAACTCCCATCCAGCTCTGACCTTCTCCGGCATGGCGGGCAGCGGATTCGACAACGACCAGTGCAGATTTGTCGACTGGGGTGTCGTCCCATGCGGTTTGGAGGACGCAATGACCCTCCGTTGCTCCCGGGAGGACAGCGTCCGACCAACGGGCGGATCTGTCTTGTGCGAGTCAATTGCGTCCGCGCATTGGGCGCTCGGATCCTCTGATGCTGGATCATCATGGTCCTCTCGAGAGCCTTACAATCTCCCTCCCCCCATCACCGGGCTGCCGGAGTATGAGTCCTGCGGGGATCGGTGTTCCCGCCGTGGGAATGAAAGGGTGAGGGTGGTTGATGCCCACTGAGGGAGTCCTGGACTAGGGGGTGTCCGGACAGCCGGACTATCATCGTCCGCCGGACTCCAAGACTACGAAGATACAAGATTGAAGAATCCGTCCCGTGTCCGGATGGGACTTTCCTTGGCGTGGAAGGCAAGCTTGGCGATACGGATATGTAGATCTCCTACCATTGTAACCGACTCTGTGTAACCCTAGCCTCCTCCGGTGTCTATATAAACCGGAGGGCTTTAGTCCGTAGGACACAACATACATTACAACAATCATACCATAGGCTAGCTTTAGGGTTTAGCCTCCTTGATCTCGTGGTAGATCCACTCTTGTACTACCCATATCATCAATATTAATCAAGCAGGACGTAGGGTTTTACCTCCATCGAGAGGGCCCGAACCTGGGTAAAACATCGTGTCCCTCGTCTCCTGTTACCATCCGCCTAGACGCACAGTTCGGGACCCCCTACCCGAGATCCGCCGGTTTTGACACCGACATTGGTGCTTTCATTGAGAGTTCCTCTGTGTCGTCACCGATAGGAAGGATGCCTCCACCCGTCTTCAAAGACGGTATTTTCGCCGAAGGGGCCTTGGCCGCCGGCCAAACTATCCGGCTAGGTGGTTTTCTTATGACCGCCTGTCCGGTGCTTCGACAATGACTTCTCAAGTCGTCAAAAGCAATCTTCGTGTCAGCTCGGAATCTGCCGAGCAGTTGGATCCGATAGAGCTCTCGTCTGTTAACGAGCTCTTGGATCGCATCGCCGCCCTGGGAGTCGCTACAGACTACAATCAGATTGGGCTTAAAACCGATCTGAGAGAGATTAACTCTCCCCAGGCCACCCACCACGTCGCAGTGGTAGAGAAGCAATGCGGCGACTCTTCGCCTATATTGAAAACTAGTCACGTCCGGATTCCCGAACCCTCCATGCCGGATTTCCGCGGAGGGACGGATTTCGATCGAGCATTGAACTTAAAATCATGCATCGTTCCGGACTCGCTGGATCGTGTCCAGCAATCCAAGCTTCCGAATTCGGAAACTCCTCGGCCTTTAAGCCCCAAGATGGGCAGGGATCCGGATTTTAGTCCACCCACCCGCCCAGACATATGCGATCTATCTCTAATATGGCAAGAGCCCGCTGAAACAGTACATCACTACTGGGCCAGATTCCTCCTGGTTATGGACAGGATAAAGGATTGCCGAGAGGAAAACACAATCTCAATCTTTTGCAATAATTGCACGGACAAGGGAATATTGAACGCCATCGGTCGTCGTAAAATCATACGGTTCGCCGATTTGGCGTCCATAGTACGAAAGTACTGTGCGATGGAGAGTTTCCGGAAAACCGAAAACCAATTTTGGGATAATCCGGCCCCGAACACAACCCCAATCCGCAACAAAAGGGTGCATCACACTCAGGCCCCAAATGCAAAAACCAAAAAGCAAAAACCCCATAAAGGGCACGGAACCGTACTGGAGGGATGGCTCAATGGACCCTGTAAGCTTCATAGTACAGAGGGCGCCGTCCCAACTCATAGCCTTCGAGCATGTTGGATACTACGGCAGGTGGCCAAAAGTGGCGAGGAGCTTCTAGCCCCGGGAAACCACTCCAATAATACCGGTACAGTATCAACAGTCTTCGAGACCTTCGCATCAAATAATATGCGAAAACGAACAATCCGCGGCCTCGCCGAAGTCTACCAAGTAGCAACAGCAAATCCATGGAGCGACACAGCCATCACCTTCAACGCCAGCGATGAACCTAAATTCCGAACAGCTCGAGCACCAGCCGGACTGGTGCTTAGTCCCATAGTGGACGGCTTTCGGCTTACAAAAGTCCTCATGGATGGCGGCAGCGGACTAAACCTCATATATGAGGAAACTCTTCAAAAAATGGAAATAGACTGGAGCCGTATTGAGCGAAGCAGCACAACCTTCAGAGGAATAATCCCTAGCCGGGAAGCGCGCTGCACCGGAAAAATCACACTCGATGTGGTGTTCGGCTCGCCGGACAATTACAGATCCGAAGAAGTCACGTTCCAAGTGGCCCCGTTCAACAGCGGATATCACGCTATATTAGGACGAGAGGCATTCACAATTTTCCAAGCAGTACCTCATTACGGGTACATGAAGCTCAAAATGCCTGGGCCCGGGGGAATAATCACTCTCGCTAGTGATCCGGACATAGCACTCCGCGCCGAAAACAAGACAGCCGCACTAGCCCTGGAGGCACTATCCGAAGCCTTAGCAGCAGAAGAACTCACCGCGCTACGCTCTACGGTGAATAGGGACGATGTGATACTCGATAAAAGATCCAAGTCCACCTCCTTCAAACCAGCAGATGAAATCATAAAATTCCAGGTCCACCCAACGGACCCAACAAAGACGGCCTCCATTGGGGCACAATTGAACCCCGAAGTAGACGCCGCACTGCGCGAATTCCTTCGGGAAAATTGGGACATCTTCGCCTGGCATCCTTCGGATATGCCCGGAATCCCACGCCGGTTGGCAGAACACAGCCTAAACATCCTAAAAGGATTTAAGCCAGTCAAACAGGCTCTTCGACGATTTTCCGAACCCAAAAGACAGGCAATGGGAAAAGAGCTAGCCAAACTATCGGAAGCCGGATTCATCAGAGATATCAAACATCCGGATTGGCTAGCAAATCTGGTAATGGTACCAAAGAAGGACAAATCCTGGTGCCTCTGTGTCGATTTTAAAGACCTCAATAAGGCTTGCCCAAAGGATCCCTTCCCTCTCCCCCGCATCGACCAAATTATAGATGCTACCGCAGGGCACGATTCGTTGTGCTTCCTCGACGCATACTCTGGCTACCATCAAATCAAGATGGCGGAAGCAGACCAAGCCGCAACGGCATTCATCACTCCATACGGACCATTCTGCTTCAACATGATGCCCTTCGGACTTAAAAACGCCGGCGCAACATATCAGCGCATGATTCAAACATGTCTGGCCACCCAGATCGGCAAAACAGTCGAGGCATACGTAGACGACGTAGTCGTCAAAACAAAACACGTCGAAACTCTAGTAGACGATTTGAGGCTCACATTCGACAACCTCAGAGCATATGACATCAAACTGAATCCAGAAAAATGCGTTTTCGGCGTACCAGCCGGAAAGCTGCTGGGCTTCATTGTATCCGGTAGAGGAATTGAAGCAAACCCGGCTAAAATCCGAGCTCTGTCACAGTTGGATATTCCAAAAGACCTTAAACAGATACAAAAATTAACAGGATGCGTGGCAGCTTTAAGCCGCTTTATCTCCCGTCTAGGAGAAAAGGCATTGCCTCTCTATCGCCTCCTCAGGCGCACCGAACACTTCGAATGGACGGATGCTGCCACTGCCGGACTCGAAGAAATAAAGGCCATATTGGCAACAAATCCGGTCCTGGCTGCGCCCAATCTGGGCGAACCAATGTTGTTATACATCGCAGCAACGCATCAAGTTGTAAGCGCGGTACTCGTCGTCGAACGAGAGACAGAAGGGCACAAATCCCCTCTTCAAAAACCAGTGTACTATGTATCCACTGTATTAACCCCCTGCAAGTCCCATTACCCACACTATCAGAAGATAGCGTATGCGGTGTTCATGGCATCCCGGAAGCTCCGACACTACTTTCAAGAGTGTTCGATAACAGTAGCCTCTGAAGTACCACTCAATGACATTATAAATAACCGCGATGCAACGGGCAGGATTGCAAAATGGGCCATTGAGCTCTTACCATTCGATATAACTTACAAACCTCGGCGAGCTATAAAGTCACAAGTCTTGGCTGACTTTGTCGCCGAATGGACCAAAGCCGAACTCCCTAAAGAGTACGGCGCATACTCCAATTGGACTATGCACTTCGACGGCTATAAAATGTTGGCCGGACTGGGGGCTGGCGTCGTATTAACGTCCCCAACCGGGGACACAGTCCAGTATGTACTTCAAATAATGTACACGGACTCCAACAACGCAGCCGAATACGAGGCCCTGTTACATGGTCTCCGGATGGCAGTCTCCATGGGCATTCAACGCCTAGAGGTGCGCGGGGATTCAAACCTTGCAATATCACAAATAAATGGAGACTTTGACGCCAAGGATCCGAAAATGGCAGCATATCGCAACGCTGTCCTAAAAATGTCAGCTCGGTTTGAAGGACTCGAATTCCATCACATAGCCCGAGATAATAACCAAGCGGCCGACGTACTGGCACGCATCGGTGCGAAATGTGACGCTGTCCCTCCAAATATCTTCCTGGAACGGCTCTTCAAGCCATCCGTACTA